TCACTGAAATGGGGAACATGAATAAGTTCATCATTCTTGCATTTTAATAGGCATCATGTTGATATCTTTGTGCTTGTATCCTGTATAAAGGCAAGCTGGTTTTCATGAGTTGCCTGCAAAAGTTTAAGTCTCTCTAAATTTGAAAGCTTTTAATGCAAAATTATTGTCTCTTCAGAAATATTTGATTTAAAAGAACTAATAACAAGTAAATAAAATATACAGCAAAATTTCCTAAGTGGAATGCAACAGATGTCTGATAAAAGCCTTCTCCAGAAATTTTCCTGCTGTCCCAGTTATTCACCATAAATACTTCAGTGCATAGCTAAAAAAAATGCACGTTGACTCTGAGCTCTTATTTGCTTGTAGCTTGCTGTTAAGCAGTACAGTTGCCACTTTCTATTTTGTCCCTCAACTTAAAATAATCCATATTTCTTCTAAAGCGAGCAGGTAAGGTATTTCAGAACATGAAGGGGAGCAAAAAGCCACATACCACCCTACCTCCCAGAGACGGAGAGCTGCTAGTAGCCAGGAGCTGACATTAGGATAGGAAATGCAAGAAAGCACCTACTCTGCAATCCCTTAAAGCAAATCCGTTACTGGTAGGAAAGTGATACGACATGACGGTTAGAAATAAATGGTACGATAAGCTATTTATTTCCTACTGCCTCCACTTCAAAGATGCCAGCGGCTGCCTTTGTCACTGGTGGAAGTCAATGCAAATTAGCAAGATAGACAGCTTGGTTCCCTCTCATGTCTAGCTTACCCACAAGGTAAGCAAAACAGCAATTACATCAACTGAAAGAGTAATTACATCAACTGAAAGAGCAGAACAGCAGTGTAAGGACAGCACAAATCAAGCAGCAAACTGTTTTAACACTGAAATGTCATACTCTGCCCTGGCAAGTCAGAGACAGGTTTGATCCTGCCTTGCAGATAAAGACAAAACCAGCAAGATTAACAAAACATTGAAAAAAACAATTAAAAAGCTTGGTAAACTTCCTATCACAGCTATGCAAATAGCCACAGACTATGAAAACAAGCATTCCAGGAGGCCTAGAAAAGTAACACTTTATTACATGGTGCCACAACAGTGGTGTATTTAGAGAGAAATGAACTATTAAAATAAAATCTTTTTGATCAAATTTTATCAGGTGTAACACTATCCATAGTCACCTGACCAGAAACTTTCTCCCAGAAATTCAGTTTGGCTGCCCATTCAAAATGTGTCTGTGGCCTTTATAGTTTCCAAAGAACATTAAAAGCAAAAACCTGCCCAAAGCCTGCAATTAAGTATTAACTAGCATCACTGAAAGCATCAGTCACTCTCGCAGATGCTCTTGAGAAAACACAGAGCAGATGACGAGATGTTCACTCCCTCGTCTTTCAGATTACTGTTAAAAAAACACGTGAACAGATTTTTCACTCCCATGGGCATATGTTTCCTTCAATGACCGTACATGGAAAAAACCTATAGGTACGGATTTCCTTCATGTCATTATCTATTTCCCTCTCTTTTTCCTTCTGTTTTCATTTGCTCACCAAGCCTGATATTTTACTGGGACAGTTGGCATTCTCAAGCACATCCTCCCTGTACCAATCCATAACATTGAAACATTTGCACATACCTCGAGCCTAAACAGAAGGTCATACAAAACTGCTGGAAAATAACCAAAACGTGATTTAGATTCCTCGTTTCCCAGGAGCTCCCACACAGAGACGGAGGTCTGGGAATGTCCCATGGCAGTCTGCTCCAGAGATGCTGATGCTTAAAACCTGGGATTCCCAAACCTGAAGGTTCTCTCTAAAATGACAGACCTTGGAGAATGTGAGCTATCATGCCAACAAGTGACAGCAGGTTTATTTCTGACAGAAGAGTTTTGGTACCATACAGACCTGGTTTCTGTAGCAATCTCAAACCAAACCACTGCTAGAAATTTTTTGCAATAAATTGTTTGCATTTTTCTAGCTAACACTAGTAACAAGATTAGATTGATTATTTGTACAAAGGAGACGCTGAAATAAGAAACAGACTATATATAATTTTGGTTTTAGACACACTTTCTAGGTCATATGCATTAGTTTCCTTATAAACAGTCAAGAGTTTTGCTTTACTCAGGATTACACAATAGGAACCAAAAGTCTTTTCCCAATGCACACTTAAATGGTGCAGTGGGCTTACCCACAATCAATTCTTCTGAAGAGGCCATGGCTCAACAGAGATTTACACATCAAAGAAAAATAAGTACGTACATCTCCACAAATCAGTGTGGGGGTTTTTTACCCCCATGGCAGAAGAAATACCACAAATTGCAATTTGTCTCACAGCATCTCTTCATTAAAGTTCCTGAGCAGCTAAAAAAAAACACCTTGAAGATTGCAAGGTCTGTGGAAGTGTAGCAACCTCCCCAGATAAGCCTGAACCCTGCTTTTAACAGTGGCCTGCTACTCCCAAGATCAGTCAACCCTAGAATTAGCTGCAAGCTCCAAGGCTGGGATGATGCTGGCTCTGTCCCAAACCCAGTTCTTGGCCCATACTGAGCAGCGTGGTAGGCAAGCACCCTCTTGGTGATCAGTCTAGGCTTGGCTGCAGCAGGACCGTACAGTCACCCTGTAAGCTCACCTCACGGTCTATTAAACAGCATTCAAGTACCAACTCTATGTTCAAAGAGTTAACAAATGGACTGGTGTGAATCCTTAGGCTACAGCACAAGGCACTATATGTTAAAGGGGATGAAAAGTTGTTTAGGCTTGTCAGAGATGGCGTAAGGCAGCCTGCATAGCCCTTATTTTAGATACCTACAATATTTTAAAGTGTCTTTTAAAGATGGTGAGAAGTTTACCAATTTTAGCAGAGACAAAAGTGACTCTCTTGATTCTGCAGTTCTCATAAGCATCTACAGACAGGTGGGAAGGAAAGCAAGGTCACCATCAGGTAAGATCATTTATATTTCTACAGTTTGAAAAGAAAACACTGCATCTGTAAAAGAAACCATAACAAAGATTATTTCATAATCCTGTTTTTTTAAAGATACGTTGTCAGAAGACAAAATTTGCATACAGAAGCAATATCAAATAAAGAAAATTTGTGGAGAGATCATATCTGTCCAAGACAAATTAGTCTTACAGTTTTCATGACTTGGCACTCTATCCAAACTTGCAAGGAAAATCTATTACTATCATGCAGTCGAGATCTCCTGACATAAGTTAAAATTCAACATTTTCTCACTTCAAACTACTGCTCTTAAAGTGGATTTCAAGTGTTTGGACTCCAGAAATTCTTGCTCTGAGATGGCAGCCTGACCATACAATTATTGTCATTAGTGATGATGTTTATGAAACATTTTTCTACCAAGTTAAGACTCTCATAATACATACAAGAATGACTGTTGACGATTTCTATTCTGGAAAACCGTCTCTCAAGAGAGATGGAAAAATGTGGAGATCAATATATTAATATGTACTTGATTCAACATGCAACCAAGTACATAGTACTGACTTTCACAATGTCAGACAAACTGTAGCTCCCAGATTTTATTTTTAAAATCCTCCATCAAATGACAGTAAATTTTATGCAGCTGAACAAAGTTAGCAGAGCAGAAAGTTCTTTTAGCAAGCAACTGTGTTAATTTAGCACGCAATTGTGCTTGCTAAACAAAACTGTGAAGAAAGAAAACCTGAATGTAGCCAGAGTTCAGGTCCAAGAGGGCCATGAACTACCAGAAACTTATTTGATCCGATTAATTGGCTGCCTGCATTTCAGCCAATGTAGCTGGAAAAGTTACAGATGAAGTCTGAAGGCAAAAAATCAATCAGAAGAAACTAACTTCCAGAACTCTTTCCATGCATAATTTGCTTTTAACCTAAAAACTAACACTGAAGGAAGATGCATAAACTTATGGCCATGTTTAGACACTTATCCGATCGCTGATGACTCAAGTCAGTCTCCTGAATATGTGACTGCAAAGTCAGATGGCAACCTCACAACACACTAGAAACACTTCTCCCAGCATTACCCCGAGAGGAACAGCTGGCTTTAATCTCACCGCTACAATGTCTAACAAGATAAAACGATTACTGCAACATACAGACCTTGAAGACAAGGTACCTCATTGTCAGCCATACCACCCACACCTGTGATCAAAGTCTTGTCCTGTTATGGACAGGGCTTAACCATGTTCCATTACTCTTAATAATTCTGACCAGGCCCAAATAATATGGGTTGTCTCAGTTCTCTATAACCACAAGGCAAGGTCTTTGACTTCTTTGCAATATGCACCCCTGTAGAGGAATTACAGAAGGTGAATGAACATCAGAATAAGAGATTATACCTACTTCCCAGCCTTCTATTCCTAAATTTAGACTTGGAATTTACATCATAGGCAAATCATATTTTGCAATCTTATGTCTGTATATATGCTATATATTTTAGCCTTAAAATTTGCATTATATATTTATGGCACTCCGGCTGCCCTCTTAGAATGGGCTTATTTCCATCCAGCACAGAGGAGAGGAGACCAAGTTCTTATTTTCCTACAGTTACCATTCAGACATATCCAATATGTTTCTGCATTCATCATGAGGGTTTTTTCATTTTTTGCATTGATCAAAGAGAAATTAAGAGTTTCAGATATCAAAAGTAACACTATATGACTCAAACATTTTTAACACCTAGAAGCTTTCACAAGGCAATCCGGACTTCGAAAGAAACAGATTTCCTTGAAAACAGACTACTTACTTTACAATACAGTAACAAAGGCTACTGCTAACATTTACTGGAAGATGTTCTGAAATGCACAGACCAGGATCTAAATAGGTGGAACGGAAAGAGTAATTCATCTTGACTTCTCTTTAAAATAAGGATGAACTAATAAAAATTCATTTTGGGGGAGTGGTGGTGTGATTTTTGTTTGCTTTAATCAACACAGACCTTTTGATGAGAGAGACAGCTAGTACCATCTGTTTCAGGACAGAATGAAAACAGACTTCTTCACTGTACTTACATGTGAGGACTGAGTTCATAAAAGTTTCGGTTTCTGTATTCTTCCACTTTCTCTGGAGTATAAATGGGTAGAGATCTGTAGGGGTTTATTGATATCACCACGCTGCCAATGTATGTCTGTTGAAGGAAAACAAAAAAAAATTATCGTGGATTTTTTCTTTTTAACATATTTTTGCTGCTTAGATGTTATTTTCCCATTTAATACTTATGCAAAAACAAACGAACAAAAAGCCTAATTGTAGCGATGAATAAATACACACATACACTCTGAAACACCTTTTAGATCTCTCTCAACAATCACTGTTGCGCACCAAGTAGCAATTTCTATATAACTGAAAGCCTCTTACAAACATTTTTTAAAAGAAAGCCCAATCATACGATATTTCTGTGACTAATTCAGTTGGGGGCAGGAAAGGGAAAAGGACACAGATGTTCACGAAGAACCGACTCCATCTGTATGGCAAATGTCACACGAGTTTTGCTGCAGCCCTTGGGCACTCATACAAAACCACGTAAAGGCAAGGCCGGAGTTGGACTGCGCTGCCTCACCCGAGGAGGAGCCTCACGCCATCTCTTCAAAGCCTCGGGCACAGAAGAGCTTCACAGAGAAGAAACCTGAAGGCTAATGGCCTCTGACAGGTTTCTGTCAAAGGAGAGATTTACTGTCAGGATTCAACTCAGTCAAAGTCCTGCCATGGTTCCTCAGCAGACGTGAAACGTAATTTTTATTTCCAGATTCTAAACATGCTTGCCATTACCCTTGGAAAGCAGAAGGCACAATGCATTGTTTTACTCTGTTAGGTCCCATTCACTGCTGAGCTGAATGAAGACCAATACTGTACACCATGATTACCATGTCGGCACACGATACGATTAACCTGCCTTCGTCAAGCCTACTGCCGGGTGCCCCACAGCTCTCTACACCTCCCTCCAGCTGCAAGGGCTGCATTCAAATACACCCGAGTGGCAAAAAATGCCAAACCCCCATTCCACCTGCCTGCAGATACTGATCAAAGATTAATTAAATCCCAAGTGTTTGTTATCTCTTTCTACAACCATGAAACAAATAAATAACACCTGATGAAACATGATTTTCCAATAACCAGGAACTCCCTGGGAGGTATAAAGGCTGTACACAAAAGCCACAGGTTCCCGTTATTTGGATTACATTTGCTAGTAACTATGGAAGAAAAACAATGGTTTTTACATAGATCTATGATTTTAAATGGCTTCTTTGCAGATATACCTTAGCACCTCACAATCACTATTTGGATTTCTCCCCACAATTTTTCTTACAGGGAAGTGCTGTAATACGCATTTTTAAATGGGAACAGAGGCACAAGGAGCCCGAGTTACT